ACTTCTTGGCTGAACCTGATTTCTTCTGTCATGCTTGTCATAACTTCATGTGTTACCTTTCTATGAGGAATGTCTTTCTGGCCTGCTGTAGGTTGTTGGGGGTTCTGCTCGAATTAGGTGACAGTGAACTTGAGGCCATTTTGTCGTATTTCCAAACAATCAGGAGAAGTTTAGGAAAACGATTTATCATCTTCGCAAGATAGCGCATGATGTCAAACAAGAACCCAGGATGAAACAACGCCAGACAGATAACAGTCGTATATTGTTTGACGGGTTACCTAAATGGGTGCCACAGAGCGGAATGTATCACATACTTGTAGTGTACAAAGTTTATCATATATGCCCGTTTTATTGATTGCCTCCGCCCCTTTAAACTGTGGTAAATTCCGAATGCACTGTGAGGTAACAAAGCAAGCCGAATAAAAAACGTCGCTTGCATATATCTGACCGACGTTCGGCGTTCGGCTGCCCAACACGGAAAATATCGAGTGATCCGGGAATTTGCGTGGTCTTCTGCCGCGTCTGTATTTAATCAGTTTGGTTCGACACTTAAGCTCCAGTATTTACTGATGACACCGGTCACTGTTACAATGAGCAGATACCTGAGTTTTGTTTTTGCGAATGTATAATACGCTAAGTGGATAGACGAATGGCATCTTAATCGCTCATAAATCACCCTTAGTTCATCGGTAGTTCCAGGAGGCCTTTGTTATTCAGCCTTGGCACTGGTGTAGAGCTGATGTTGCGTCTTGGCTTTTCAGCACAAATAGGTACATAGTGGTGTGACGAAGCACAAAATTTATCTTAGGTTGCATTATCATGGTTGTTTGTTCCGAAACCCTTTTTCCGTTCCAGGTTTTCGTCGCCTGTGGGTTTTGCGGTTGGCGCCTTGGACCGCAGAATAGACCCAGCTTGTCTTCGGTCGGGAACCCTACAAGCTCAACTGTGACAGTCCAAGGTACCGGTACGAGCCCATCGGACGACACCATTGCAACTACTACTACGACCTCATCTTCGAGAAATCTTCAGATGCATGGCGGTGGGGGAAAACACACCATTTGTCAACGATGCCGAAAACCTCTACCCCGTTGTTCCATCTGTCTGATGCACCTGGGCACAGTCGCCCTACCTCTGACGGACTCGAATTGGTTTACGCCAACACGCGAAGAGGCCTTGAAACGTTCGGCTATTGCTGCAGTCCCATCTCTGTCGGAGAACATGGCACGCGTGATGCAGCTGAGTATTATTGGCGCCACCGGACTAGAAGTGATGAACAACCGTGGTGACGATGTGAAGGCGCATGCAACGTAAGACATTATTATCTCT